TTGGAGTAATGTAATCGTTTTTGTCCTCTGAAGCATTCTGCTTTGAGATGGAGCCGTCATTCCACTGCAGCTGCCATCCTGGCTGAAGGTTGCTTCCCTACACCTCAACCCTATTAGCAGCGTAGTCTTCCTTCCAGAGCAGCTACCGAGCAGATTGAGCTGGTTGGAAGCACTGAACTCATCCAAGTGTGGATGGAACCATGGCTGGCAATCTTTACTGGGGGGCGAACGCTGGACGCAAGAAAGTCTTAGGGCTCTGGCGCAGCAGCTCAGGCACAAGAAACCCTTGGCACCCGAAAGAAACTGTGGCAGCCTGAATCGCAGATTAGGATCTGGGGAGCTAAGAAAGGTAAAACAAATTGCAGTATACTTCAAACTACTAGCGAAAACAAAGTGTGCATTCACTTTCAAGAGTGGTGGTCCTAGCCATATGTAAGGTGTGAATGCCTGCCACTTTCTGCGCTCGAAACCGCACGGGAACAGGGCTGGATGGTTGCGGGAAACATGGGGCACGACCACCGCCCTACGACATACGGTCTTTGGACCACGACCTCTTCCCGCACAGCTAGTCACGCGTCTATCCATAGTCAAACGCGCTGGTTGTCTACGCCTTCTCACTTCTGGCTTTCCCTATCTCTGACTGCGTGCTCGCTGCGGGGTTTTGGTATCGACACAAGCCCTGAGGATAGCGCGGATGGAGTTCGGAGATGGTGCCTGGGTAACACTATCTTTTAACCTCATTTTCTTTCTTTTCGTGGTGTCCAGACTGTTAGACCAACCCGTTCGTTTGGCAGGACGGTCCTCGGAGGTGAGTGTCCAGTTGAGGACTTCGCCTTCCTTCGTAAAATGGAACCAACTAACGAATTGAGTGGACTTTACACTTAACAAGCATTCCTCAGCCCTTTACTGCCATCAATATTACCCGCTGCGAGCAGCATTTTGAAAGTGATTCGATGACTGGCTTGGCAGCTTACCAGAATATTCGTGGGAACTCACCTTTTGGGGTCTTACTGCGCAATATGCGACTGATGCTGCTCACTGACGGCACACTGTCTTTGTTGCAGATGCCGTCATTCACAAGTCGGTCACGAATTTCCCACGAGAAAATCCCCGGGTCTGAGTATTTCAGTAGACGAATGTATTCGACTACCTGAATAGTAAAAAATATAGACAAATAAATTCGGAAGAGTTAGGAATTAACCCAACACTTACCTTCGGAGTCGTAACTCGCGGTTTACTCCCACCGATAGTACCTGGCTCAATCGATCCTTTCTCCACGTATCTGAAAACGTCTTAATCCAATTTCCGTTTAGTTGTGGCATCTATGGCGCATTAGACAAAGACGGCCAGCCATGTACAGTCCATATCCTGGAGATGGAAAGGGCGTGGCTTGTACTTAATTTGGGCGTAGCGGAGTTTGGGATATTTGGGAGACATCTTTTCATAGAGCCACTGCACATACAGTCGCTATCTATGCGTCATGTGGAGGCATTCTTGTGCACTTACATTAGGGTTCGGCGCTGCGCCAGCAGAACCGT